ATATATATATATATATATAAAAATGTTTTTGAGCAGCTGAGCTTAAGTCTTCAGTACAGGGATTGTCCTTGAGTACAAGTCTACAAGCTGAGTACTTAGCTGGAGGCCTCCAGATACTCCTCTACAGAAATAACAAGACTAAATACCTGAAAAAATACAACAGTAGTAGATCAAATTTTTTTTCTCTCACTCAAATAACTGCTTTTCTTTATCTCTTATTCTCATCTTAACTTATTCAGTTCTTCCTCAAAGCCTGAGAGAAAGGCCACGTCTTGCCAAATGATGCTTTGCAACATGCTCATGCTACTAGTTCCTGAAAAGCAAAACATGCTGCAAAGCATCTTTCTCTCAGAGTTCTTCCCTAGATTGCTACAAGACAGATACCAATGACTTTCTATAGCAAAGGAACTGGTAGATGTGTAGTGGTAACGGATGAGACAGAGGATTTCAAAAATCATCTTGGAAGCAAAAGAAAATTAAGTAAGAGCTAAGTGATGATGTAGATTAAAAAAAAAAAAGGCGTGGGGGAGAAGTGAGAATTTCATACCTAATTCTCCTTGGCAGATATCTGTTCTGTTGGCTCCACCAATAATAAATCGTGGATTCTCACAGATTTCCTGCAAAACACACAAATAGATGTTTGCCACAGAAATAAAAGCTGTTTTAGGACAATGTTTTCCTATAGCACAATTTGTGGGTATCAAAATCTCTTGCAGTGTTTTTAGCTGCAAAACTTCAATACAGAAATGTTTTGAAATCTGGATGTTCTAGACATTAGGGAGAACACTCTCCACATCTCCAGAAAGTCTAACAGCTAGCCTGGGGGGCTCCTTCTGTATCAGCTGCAAGTATATGGTGCAAACACATCACAATGAGGAGAAGAGGGAAAAGATGTTTTTGCATATGAGGAAAAGTAAACATTGAAGGAGAGGGGAAAGTAGGGGACCAGATTTAATTCTTTAAAAATGGACTGCAGGTCCAACTTGCAACCGCTAAAACGCAAAGGTATTAATAGGGCTGAGGAGTGTATTTCATTACCCCAGTAATAATCTTTCTTGAAATCTGCCCAGAATCAGATCTTTGATTCTTGGGAATAATCAAATGTTGGTTAAGAGATTTGTTCTTTGCCTCTTGTTGCAGTATTTAACTGCCGGTGCTACATTCAGAAATGTAATACAACCATCATCTGTCTCTGAGGACAGGAAGCTCTTCTGCCCTGCATTTAGGGCAGCATATTAGTTTTTTAGTACTTATGCTTGTGCAGAATGGGCACAAGATAAATAATTAAATGGTTTCTATGTATTAGGGTCAGATCCAGCTGAGCTGTAAAGGAAGGAGGGGGTTGTGGAATAATGCACTGACTACAGTCAGGTTGTCTTACCCCTTTCTCAATAATCTGGGAGTGAAATGGAGGTTAAATCAGATGCTCCTTGCTCTATTGTTTGAAAAACAGCTTCTGTCCATGTATGAAAGTGCTTCAAGGGATTGTTGTAGGGAAGGAAGGACTATGCATGAACTATCAGCAAATGGAAGTGGGACTACAGCAGGGTTTACACAGCACCTTTTCCAAATTAATTGCAACCATTTGTCTACCATATGAGACAAAAAACTACAGGATGTATGAAAGCCATCAGAAGAAGTAGGTGCAGCCTCTCCTACACCTCAGCATTGAGTTCCATGAATGTACTGGATGAGGAGAAGAAGAAACAACCACCTTTACTGGCAACCCCCATCCAAGCCTGGCAGAGAAAAAAAAGCCCCTGCTTTTTCCTATCCCTCATGGGAAAAGGGCCAAACGCTCAAACAGCTGGTATGGGGAAAAAAGGGAAAGCACCTAACTTTTGGACGCATCTCTTGTGAGGGTAAGAAAAGAAAGATATTGCAACCTGAGGACCAATTTTCTGAGCAGCTGCAAACGTGAGGAAGAAGACAAAATGTAGCCCCAGAACCCAATTTCCTGGAGTGGGAAGGAGAAAGAGAGAACAACGGACAATTACTTGAGAGAGCTGAATAATTGGCAGTATGAGCAGCTGACACTGCCTCTGCAGTCTAAAGCTTTTTTCCCATGTCATCAAGGTAGCCTTGGATTTTCCCAGACTTGTGTTTCAGGTCTAATTGTTTCACTTGGCTTAAGCCCACTTTTTGTTCCTTCACAGTAATCAGCAGAGCCTTTACTTTGATGTAACTATTAGTCATGCAGCCAGAGACAGACCCACTTCCGGCTCCCTGCAGCAGTACCTTATTCTCCCCGTGGAAGGGAACAGGTGGGATTGTCCTGTTATTTCAGGCCTTAGTCAGCTGTCGTGGGGTTCAGGTCTGTCAGGGCAGCTGTGTGAGATGCCTTTGTGCTTTTCTCCACCCACTTGCTTTGAAAATACTTTTCCTGGCATTCCTATGGTGCCTTTTGAAAACTAGCTGTGAGATACCATGTTTTTGGATTGTGTTTTCTCCTCTAACAATATATTTTAGCTTGATCAATGTGTCAACTTCTAACAGTATATTTTAGCTTGATCCTGCTCCTGTTGAAATAAAAAGTTCTTGAACTCAGCATGCTGTATTTTAGATGAAGGTAGTTAGATGTCTAAGTGCTTCCAAATACTAAATGTGTATTGATAATTGTTCCCCAGTGCAATTTCATGTATCATCTACTCATTTGCTTTAGAGAATAGTCTGTAAAGGAACACAAAGGAGGAATTGTACAATTGTCATATAGATTGATCTAGGTATGACATAAATGCTTTCCTTGCGTTTCTTTACGGTGGCTAGATGCAGATAGTACATGGTAGAAATGCTTTTAATATTGCATTACTCTTGTCATCTCCAGCTGTGCTAGTTCTGTTGAGTACAGCCAAGGTTACAGCCAAAGGTTTCAAGGTCTTGTAAAGCTGATCAGAAATAGTCAGCAGAAAAGACAACCTGGTCTTTAAGATGGAAATGGCAGTTTAAACCTTCAGATCTTCTAGGTTGAGCAAGAGGTTGTTCTCTCTCTCGTAGATAAAGTTATCACTGAGCACCCCAATAGGCTGCACTATGTTGTAATGATTCATCTAGAAAGTGTGTCCTCTGAGTTGAATGCCTCAGACTGCTCTAGTACAGAGTTTTCATCCATTGGGTTGATTCAGTTTAGATTAGAAATTCATTACAAACAGAGTGAATGTTATAGCCACAGAGATAAGGAATCCTAGGAAAAACTCATCAACAGTGCACATTGCTTTCTGGATGGAGCGTACTTATGTAACATTTGGAAGAGAGCAGTGGAAAACGCAAAGGCAGTATGCAATTAAAAATGACATTTGATTTTTATATTTTTATTAGTTTTTCTTTATCAGAAAAAAAAAAACCTGTAGTCAGCTCATTCTGTTGCAGCAAAAGGCATTCATTCCTTTAAAAACTGCTGTTAATGATCTGGCATTCGAAGTACATTCTCTAAACTGAGCCCATCAAGTAGAGGAAGTGTCTTCCTTGGCCTGCCTAAGAATATCTATAGGCCTTCTCCCCTGGCCTCTCACTATCTGTATCTTGTTTGCTATTAAATGGATCTGATAAGCACTGTGGACCTTCACGGCGGAGCTCACCATTGCTGGATACCAAGATGGTTTGAAAGTTCCAGAGTTGGATTCCTCTCATCTGAAAGCCATCTCTTCATGGCACTAAATGCTGTCTTTGCTTTGCTTTGCCTGAAGCAGCGCATCCTTCGTGATAACTAAATTCAAAATGTTTTGCATCTTCTACCTGTGCAGCAGATGATCTGACTGCTTCATTTTCATTCTAAGCAACATCTTCCAGGCTGCTAACCTGATTTGATTTGCATTCGCTATGAAAAGAAATTTCCTCCTGCTGATTTGCTTGGTTATGGAGAAGATCACCATAGGGAAGTCATTAAATCTGATGGGTAATGCTGTGACCTCCTGACTGTGAGCAATGAGAATGACAATGGAGCATTTAAAAGGACAGTATCACAGCAGAGCCTTCCCATTAATCTCTTAGTGCCATTACCTCCAAACAAGACTGCAGCAGGACCTCTCATTACTCTGTACTGTGTTATGCTAAAGTCCTTTTCTCATATCTGAATGTTGATGGGAAGCGATGTTCCTTTTAAACAGGAACTCTTAGTAATCTCATTTTTCAACAGGAAAACTGCATATTCAGTAGGAAAATTGCCTCCCTGTGGCTTAATTCAATGTACTGTAAAAGGCTGTTTCAAATCTCCTTGTCATCACCACCAGGTGATAAACCGTAACGTAAAACTTGGCAAGCTTGTTATGAGAGGTGTTAACGATACCATTCCCTTAGCATCTTCCGTTTGTGCTGAGCTGGAGGGCAGGTCCCTCTGTGCACCCATGGCCTATTTGGCAGCAGTACAAGCTCTGTGGTGCTGATGGTGCACCATCATTTATATTGTTCCCTTAGTGCCTTCATAATGTGTGCTGATGTATGGCATAACAGACAGTATATTATCTTGCCCTGTGACACTCTGTACGCTCAGTTGTTGAGCACCAGGGATCCCAACCTCCCTGCGTGCTCTAGAAATCTCTAACAAACAAAGGAAGTGTCTGGAAAGTGTAAAATCTGATTGTGTCTGTGACAACTTGGCATATTCTGTGATCACTGTGGCAAGCGCTAGAATTTTGAATAAGGATGCTGAATATTTCTTCTCCATTGCTGTTTACTGAGACAAGCAGATGTGGATTGAAGTGAGGGCAGGAAATCGGGAGTCTGTAAGCTCTGAGTTTTTGCTCTGTAACTAGTTTGCTGTGAAATCTTAGTAATCTATTTATATGTATGGTGCTTCTTGCATATGAGGCATGCAAATACTCCAGAGTCTTATAAAGCTAAGCTCAAAAAGAGCTCTAGGAAAACAGAAGTGCATGGTAAATGGGCCTCTGTTTTAATGAACAAAGTAATTATGTGCTAACTACAGATAGTGCAGTAATTTTCTTCAGGTATATTGGACCTTACTTTCTCTTTCCTGAAGCAGTTTCCATGCATTTGGGACATTTCTGGTTTCTTTGGGTGTCACCTGGACATGCAGAGGGACTTTTACCTGGCTGCAGCAGGCTGTTGGGAATTCCCCAGTCAGTGAGAACTGTCAGTTGCTGTCTAGTCTGTGGATCCAGGGCTGTTCTCGTGCTCCTGGCTCCACATGGTTTGGTGGGTTGGGAGATGGAGTCGAGCTCTGCTCCCACAGGAAGCATAGGTGTGGGAGGCTGAGGCTGTCAGAAAGCTCAGTGCAGTCTTTTGCCGAGTTGGACGTAACCTGGTTCAGGAGAGAATGGGCCTTCTGAGCTTCTCTTATCTTCTATGTGTTGGTGGATGTTTTAATGCTATGCAATAACTGAGAGGGATTTAATTTTCCTGCTATTTTGAACAGAAACACTGGATGGATCCTGCAGTCTTTACTCAGGAAAACTTTCACAGATGTCACTTAGCTTTTGCCTGAATTGAATATTACATAGTCTGCTCCGTGCATTCATGGCATGGCGTGAGACAGCCGGGTAGAATTACAGTTCTCTTTACCACCCCTCTGATGAGGTTTACAGCTGCCCTGCATGGCAGGCTGTCCTAACGGTAATGCACAAGACCAGTCCTTGTGCCCTCAGCACTGACCAATCATTTTGGGAGGCGGTGGCAGAGGATCTGATCTCAGGGTAGCAGCAAAGTTAAGAGCCCGCAGGGCCAGACGCATGAGAGCAAGGGATAACTCTGAGGCTGTGACACCGGACACCTGTCCTCGTTTCAGTAACGTATTTCACAGGGAGCTCAGTGCTGCAAGAGCACCGAGGAAAAGCTTGAGCCACAGCTGAGTCGTTGCCCATGTGCGTGGGGAGCGCCTGGGCTCCTCTGCAGCCCACGTGCTGGAGGGGGAGTTGCCCCCGGCTCGGCTGGCCGGGTGGCTCAGAGTGGGGCACTTTCATTGTTGGCAGCTGATCTGCTCTGGGGCCTGGGTGACTCCCCAGTGCAAATGCAGACTAACAGCCTTTTGGTATGTTAGGACAGGATGCTGAAATCTACAGCTAAGAAGCGCTATTCAGAACATCACAGTGATCAATGCTTGGTTACAGTGTTTGCAAAGGGCAGCCACGTGCTGCTGTCAGATTAGCTGTGTGATTCCTCTGATAATACCTGGAACTTCTGGAAAAGCTTTTGTTCAACAGCGCCATGTGAATTCTTGTCATAACAAATAATGACCATTTAAGGCTAGCAGTAATTTTTCATATATTTTATATTCTCATATATTAATCTGATGGGGTGGGGGGGAAGCTGGGATACAAATTGGTAAAGTGACATGACCCAGGTGACTTGGCAAGCCAGAGGCAGTCAGGAAAAGAGTGCATGTTCCCTAGCTCTCGGTTTTAACCAAGAGATTTTACTTCACATTGTGCATTTGTTTATTTGCTGTTTCCGGGGCTATCTGATATATATCATATACCAGAAATCAGGGAAAGGATCTAGCAAGAAGTCAGTATTAGGTATTTTCTCAGGATTTCTGAACTATCTGGTATTTTGTTTTCTTTTACAATACATTCTCAAATTTGACTCAATTCAAGTTTGATTTGAATTTCAGACTGATTTAGAATGACCACTTTGTAGGACTATAGTTTACAAACTAGCTGCTCTTTTTGCAATGGCAATTTTGGGGCAATTTATTAAGAACAGAAGCTGTCTATATCTTTATAGACTATTATGAAATACGGCCTGTGCAGTAGAATCTTGATGTTTGGTGCGTCAGTGATTGCTTTCATCTCTTAGCAAAATACCCTTTTAGTCCAGTATTACTGCCTCATATTCACCTCACTTTATGGTGTTCTGTAACATGGCTATTGAGTCTATTCCTGTACGTAATATTATCAGGCAAGTCCTCCTACTCGTGGGATTTAACCTATTGTTTCAAAGCCCAGTGAAGCAAAGTACTGGGGTGGGTCTGGGATCAGCCTCAATAAATACAGGTCTCCTGGATCAGGGCCCAAGAGAAACCTCATTTTGCTGTTGTGATACGGACAACAAGATTGGGGATACATTCAAAAAAGAAAGCATTAGACGTCTCCCCTCTTTGGCTACCTGCTGGATACAGCAATAACCTCATTTTTAAGAGATGCTTGACAACCACGTTTGCAACAGAAAGCATGAGCATCCCTACAAATACGGCCCAGTGTGTCCCAGGAAGGACAGACATCTGTACTGGGGCTATGACTGACTGGCTCCACGTCCTACAGCATGTTGGTGCTCGTCAGCTGCAGAATCCAGACCTGTTGAGTTCTGCTTCTGCTCTAACCTGCAGATGCATCAGGTACCTACATATTCACGTCATGAGAACAAAGATAGCTTAGGTTCTGATATTTAGGTTGTATTTTGAGTGGTTTACAGTCCCAGGCACCTTGATGTTACCTGAATAATAACTATACAGCTCCCAGACTTATTTGTTAACTAGTGGATTAGAGAAGTGTCTTTCAGATAGAGAAGGCTGAAGCTTCCCAAGAACAAAGGCCTGATCCACGTATGCCCATTTATATCAGACAAAGGTGAAGTTACGTTGTGCCTTTTTGCCGTTTCAATGCTTTCTCATGTGCACGCTTACAGTCCATTTGCCCCAGTGTGCTGTCACTATACAGCTATATCACTTTCCTCCCTGTAGAAATCTGGGAGATTCCCTCCCCTTACAGATGATTGAGTTCCTGCTCCATTTAACTCATTTCTGGGTTGATGCAGCTGTGATGTTGCTGAAGGAGTGGGGCTGCACTTGGCTGCGTGACAGAGCATATACACACAGGCACCCCGAGGGGTGGACAGCCTATGGGTGTTTTTACGGAGACCTGTGGCAACAGATGTACTAAACCAAAGTGGAAAAACTTCTTTAAAGATACTCCGAAACTAATTCTCCCTCTACGTTTGAGTGAATTCTTCCAGTTCTTTCACAGACTGTTTCTCTGTGTTACCAAGAATAATGAAAGAACTAAACTCCATTACCTTACTGAGAACTACTAACTATAGGAAGAGGTACATCAGTGCCTCTCTTATCTCACAGTGTTTGGATTAGACCCCTGCATCAGACATTATCACAAACTGGGACAACGCATTTTCCTACTCCTTTGTTTCAATTTACCTCTTTGCTCTGTTAAGAGCTACACGTCGCACATGTTGCTGTTGCAACAGCAGCATATGGCCATCTTCTCGTTCTGTAACAGCTACGCACAAAAGTTACTGGTCTTTTGCTATTTACTTATGTTATTGTGGTTAGCTTTATCTAGTCTCATGAACTTCGTCACGGAAGCACAGATTTCACTGTCAGAGAAGTATGGCAAATCTAGAAAAGGCAGCCAGTAATGTCAGAGAGCTAGCCAAGCGCCTCAAAACCACATCCTTGCTGCCAGACAGGGCTAAGGCAGCATCCTGGGGGCTGTCACGCTGGAGGGGAGCAGCTGCCTGGCAGGGATGACAGCGAAAAAACTCATCTTGTGGTAGGACTGAGAATCAATGTGGAATTGCAGAATGAGTCCTCCGCATGTGAGAGGCTGAGGGCGGGAAAGAACAGGAAGGCTGGCTGAGGAAATGCCCACAAGATAGGAAAAAAGAAGGGGACTAGTATACAGGCATCTATCCTCACAGTGATTTTAACCCCCACATTTTTGGTGAGCAGGCTAATCAACTTCTGAAAGTCAGCTGAGCAAGGTTGGGAACGAACAACAACTGTATAAAAACATGTTTCATCATTGCATAATCTGTTTTCTTATTTTCACACACTAGGAAAGCAGCAGAATACTGAAGACAAGAGAAATAAGATAGTGCCCAATAATATGCTGGAGCACAAGAACTTGTTTTCTTTGGCAGCTTCAGATGAGAAAACTCCAAACAAATCATGCAAGAAGCCAATTAAACGTCATTCTTTTTTTTCTACATGCATCATTCCATCTCTTTTTATTGTATTTTAGTCATTATATATTCCCTCTGACCTTTCTCAGCCTAGAGCACTACCCTGGAAGATAACTACTTAAGGAACTACACTTACAGCTTAGTTTCTTTCCCCTCCTGCAAAACAAGCATGCTCAGGGTGAATACTTTGATTTACAGACAGTAAAAGGCATAGCAAACATGTTACTTACACGTGGTCTTTTCCACTCAAACTTGATGGGGATTTTCTGGCTATAGAAGAGGGAGGTCTCATTAGGTGGGAAATCAGGATCTTCATAGAGGATGTTTTTCTCCAGGCACTTCTTGTGAAGCTCTTCATAGGTCTTTTCCTTTACTCTGATAATGGGCTGGTTGCGACTGATTATGGCAGAATAAATCCCCCCTGTGCCCCCACCTGTACCTTCAGCTGTAGTGCTAACAGTAGCACTGGGAACTGACCCAGCAGCTGTCTGCTGAGCCACCGCTGCATTTATGGCAGTTGGCATGGGAATCAGATTTAAAGCAAGTGTTAAAAGAAAGGAAGATCTTGAAAACTTGAAGGAAGTTTGGCAAAAGAGGAAGTTGCTTTGTAAAAAGCGTTTCCTTTTTGTCAAAAGTCTCCTAATCAAATTTGCAAACAAAGTTCCATGTAGTTGAGCAGTTTGTGCATCCTCTTGAAGGGCAGTATTTTGTCATAAGTAATTGGTTTTTATTCTGTGCTGTGGAACAAGATAACCTGTTGTTTAATTCCTGTGCCTAAGCTGTTGCTTCTACAGCATGTGCATATGCCTGCCCTCTGCGTGTGTGTGTGTGTAAGCACCCAGAAGAGTCAAGTTTTAACCCGGGAAGCCTAAAAATAACCACAGGCAGAGAGAGAGAGAGAGACCCAACGGGAGAGGGAGTGGTTAGCGAGAGGGTGCGAGTCTGCTGCGCAGCTCGTGGCATGGCCAAGCATGTTCTTGGGCTTTGTGGGTGCAGGCTGACTCCTGGTGCAAGCAGCTTGCCTTTTCCTCAAGTAGAGAGAACAGTCAAAATTGGGAGCTAAACTTCCACTGATGCGGGAACATAATTATAAAGTACTGTTAGCCAATAAACTACTCCTGATGCTCCTTAAGGGACTGTTGAATTGTTCTTTTTTTTCCCCCCTGTGCTACTGAAGAGATATCTTTGTATACAGTCCTAATGGTGAAAAGCACAGATAATTTTATTTGATGCTACCGAGGTCAGTCCAATACATGCCAGTTGGGGATTAGCTCCTCCAGGTTACAGCAAGAGGAGTGCAGCTTGCCAGGAGTAAGATTCACCTGGTGATAGCTACTTCCCACTTAAAAGGCACCTTTATGTACAGGCGCTTGGTGTGGAAATCGTGCCACTAGATCGTGCCTAATCGTGCCTTAGATTAGGATGTACTAATCTAAGAGGAAATATATGACTCTTTGCACATTTATTTTCTTGTGGTGGGTTAAGGGCCAAATTCAATCACTTGTGAAAGAAAAATCAAACTGCTTTTCAAACACATGTTGCTCTTCTCTGTTACTCAGCTCTTTAAAGGGTGACATCATTCTATATGTAGCAAGAAAAGCCCTCTAACACCCTGATTTTCTTTGATTGGGAAGTCTCAAATCACATGATAGCACCAGTGTTATTTTTGCCTAATGACACTAGTAGCTGGGCTCTGGCTCATGTGCACACTGATGACTTGCCTTAGTACTAGAGTGTTTGTCAAAGCAATGGTTTTTTTTTTTTGGTTTGGTTGGTATTTGTTCCTCAGCCATTTGTTTGGTTTGCTCATTTCAAGTCAACACTACAATGGACAATATAGCTTATTAGACCCCTCAAGCTCCATTAGGGCAATCTTTGAATAAGCTAATACAGTTAGCAAGTTCAGCCAACCTCTGGGAATATTAATTCTCGTGTTTCTAACAGTGGCCTAAATCCTTTTCTTTTTTATTATGAATGCAAGGTTCTTGCACCAACAGGGCAATGAGAAAGGGCTGATTCAAGCGTCCTTGGAAACAGGAAAGCAATTGTTTCCAGATAGGTTGTCCAGCTGTGGAATTGATGACTTCCTCATTACATTTAGGTATGAGGATTGCAGGTCTTGTATCTGACAT